TAATACTTATTTCAATTGTACTGCGCATGTACCTTTCTATTTATTAATAAATAAGACATCAGTCTATTAGGTTATACTTCCGTGTGTTTTTTTTTAAATCTTATTTTTGAGTGTTTATAAGAATATTATAATTACAGGTGTATAAACATACTATACGTGTATACGTATAGTATGTTTTTATTAATGAATTCATTATATTAAAATGTGAGCACACTGCAGATTCCTCTACAAGGGCAGAAATAAGAAATCGCATGGCAATTTCGAATACCACAAAGGTCCCTGAATATCATCATGTACGAACCCAAAAGAACAATTAGATAGTTATGCGTCACACTAAACTCAATAAAATTGTAATGTTAGGTAGGTATCTAAATATCTAGTAGGTACACAAACAAATGTAAAGAACAAATAAAGTTTGATATATCATCGATTATTCAAGTCGGGCGCGATGGCGCACGCGACACGTTAAGTGAATGTATATAAAAATCAAACATAACACAGCGACCAATAGGAACACAAAACCGCTGTTGCGTCATCGCGACAACGACGCAACACGAACTCCGCCATGTCGCGTAGCCGACATGACGCGATAGCCAGTCAAACTCGAGCTCGAGTAACAAGGTGACGAGCGACATTCTCACAAATATGTCTGATAATAAAACCGTACAATTAGTGAAAGCAATAGAAAAGTTTCCATGCCTATACAACTACAATATGCCAGAATACTTAAAAAAGGATTTTAGTGAGAAAGCATGGCAAGAAGTTGCTAGTCAAACTCAGCTCGCGGGTAAGCCGTTTTAATTGTTCAAAACAACTAGCTGGTAGCTACGTACACTGACATGTAGGTAGGTTTAGCTAGCATTACATACATGATACATCTTATGCGATAGATACATCTGTGGTTGATAGGTGGGTACCAACAGGGAGAAGTCGTTGTTTATAGTTAACTTGACATTGAATGAGTAGGTAAACAAACGCATTATTGCTACAAACAAATAACGCTCTCGTATTTTTTTTACTGAGATTAATGCAACAGTTCAGTAGGTACTTAGTTAAACTAAATATTCGTCGTATTGTAGGTAGTTTAGATACAATTTTGGCTTGTGAAATGTAACATATCGAAGTTTTTTTTTCAGTTGGGGAATGCAAAGAAAAGTGGAAAAATCTAAGGTACGGCTTGCTGCGAAGTTTAAAACTAAATCCAGATGGATCAGAAAAAAAGAAATATTATTTGCATGATGACATGGAATTCGTGCTACCGTTTATCAGAACATACAGAGCTGACCCTATAGTTTTCCAACAAGTAGACGCTGAAACAGATGAGGAAATGAATGGTCTTAACGATCAAGATAATGAAAGTGCCCCACTACAAATTCAATATCAAGAAATAGAAATATCTGAACCACCAAGAAAGAGATCAAGAGAGAAAACGAATGATAATTTTATAAAATATTTGCAACAAAACCCAAGTAATAAGCCGAACAACAATGAAGTGAGCGACGATTCAAGAAAAATGTTCTTATTAAGTTTGTTGCCTGAAGTTAACGCATTAACCGAATGCCAAATGAGAATGTTCCGAAGAAAAATTTTTTCACTGTTAGACGAAATTGTAGATACTCCAAGTCAATACGAGACGTGTTTATTTCAATGGCAAAAAGAAACCATGAATCAGGAATCGCACAAAAGTTCAGAAACAATTAAACAGGAACCACTTTGATGACACGGAGTCGATAAACCGATGAAAGAAATATTAATTCGATTGTATATAATTTTATTGAAGGTGGGATACATACTATTATGTTCGTAAATTAATTTGGTTACTGTTTATTTCCTTAATAGATAGCGCCATCTGAAATCAAAATACACACCTACAGAAGTAGGTACGACAGAAGTCCAAGAGATGGCGTTAAGTTACCAGTCCATTGCTAATTTTGATTTCTGCAGGTTTATGTACAATGTGTAATAAAGAAAAACGGTTATTATAACAAAAAATATTTATTATTCATGAAGTCATGTACTTATATCCAAATAAATAAATATGCTCTGCTGAAAGAATATTGATGATTGATTACAAATTATTGTACAAATGCAAAATAAAATGCCTGTTTGAGTTGGCAAGCAAACTATTTAATAGGAGCATTCTTCATTGATTTAGTAGTAACAGGATTTCCATTGACTTTGCTAATCAATTTATTATCCTGCCACACTGCTAGAAGAGAGTCATTGGTTTTTAGATCAACTTGCAGTTTTTCCCATACCTTTTTCTTGGGGTTCAAAACATCATCAGGTTCTCCTGTTTCGTACCCTTCTATAACCACTCTATCACCTGGCTTGCTACCCTCTGGGGCCAACAGGGGTTCAACCTGTTTAGGCTCATCAACAGAAGCACATAGCACCATTCCTTTAGATTCAATACCTCGCATTTTGGCAGGTTTTAAATTACACAGAACTACTACATCTCGGTTCTGCATTTCTTCTACAGGCACAAAGTTAACCAATCCTGATACAACAGTTCTAGGTTCTTCCTCTCCTAAATCTATCTTTTCAACATAAAGAGCATCTGCATCCGGATGTCTTGAAACTTCAACTATGCGACCCACTCTAATATCAAGTTTAGAAGGTGTTATTTCATCAGCTGTCTGTGCATTACCTTTAGATTTAGCTGGAGGTGGGTATGCCTTCTTGGCTAGCTCTTGGAGATGAGGCTGTTTGAATATTTCTTGAATAGGACCTAAAAGTTTGTTGATGGCTAACTCAACACTAGCCTTTAGATCTCCTGGGTGAATTTCCTGTTTAGCATAGGCACTTTCCAGATCTTCAAACTTGGTAAACTCAACATTACCACCATGCTCAGGTGCTCTAGTAATTTTGAAAGTATCATCTCCCTTCATCAAAGGAAATACAACATATTTAGTGAATGACAAAACACCATTATCAGTAATATTGCCAGGTTCACAGAAAGCCTTTTTCAACTTCTTCTTTACATTAGCTGGGTTGTCTAATAAATCAATTTTGCTATCCTCTTCAGATGCAGACATTTTTCCTCCTGTTAAACCAGGAACCATAGGATTCATTAAATGTACCCTTTTAGCATACCCTAACTGAGGCAAATATTTTTCAGCCATAGTAAATATTTTCCTTTGATCTACTCCACCAAATTGTGCATCTACTTTCAAATATTCTTCATCTAATGCTTGGAGGCCGGGGTATAACAGACCACTGAGTAACGGATGATCAACTTGTTTTACAACTTCTGCACCAGCCTTTCTAGCATCGTGGTCTGTGACTACAGACGACATGCGATATACATCAAGTGTGTACTCTTTGCTAAGCTGATAATCAGTGCCCTTAACAAACTTCAATTTATCCAGTGGTACACCAATTGATTGAAGCATAGCTTTAATGGCAGCTTCATAGTATTGTACACGGAGATTCAACAGATCCCAGGGTGCTTTCATGTTATCTAAATAAGCATGTAAATCCGCAAATAAAATAGTCACCTCACAACCAGCCACTAAGAAGTCTGCTATCTTCGACATTGGAACAAAATAAGCGACATGGGGTCTCCCAGTTGTTGCTGTGCCCCAGTAAATTTTAAGATCTCTTTGCTTCAAGATTTCTGTAAGCCTGTCATCGCCCAATACTTCTTGTAAATTACGAGTTATTAGCGTTTTCTTTTCCTCCATAGTAGCCATGGTTAAAAATTCACCAAAATACTGAAAAAAGAAACAAATCTAGGTTAAGACACGAGAAATTTGGAAAGGTTTTCATTACATTACTAGAATATTTATCACAGGTAAGTTGAATGTAAAATGAAAGTTACCTGCCGTCTGTGACAAAATTTCAAATGTTTAGTCAATGAATAGGCTCAAAACCAATATTCATGAATATTTTTTAACTACACGTACAGTAAGACAAATATTCATACGAGAAATAATAACACGTAAGTGAGCTGTCTTACGAAACTAGATGAAACATAACCTCTCAATCGTTGAGATTAGTAAAAGTGTTAAAAACTAACCAAAACTCACAAAATGTATGTTAAAACGATAAAGTAAACGCTTTTAGTGTGTTTTAAATTACCACATTATAGATTTTCATTTGTTAATGAGTAAAAATTAAAAAAATATTGGAATTTTGACAAGTCTGAAGTTAGCTACAGTTCAAAATACTTGTTACCAACTGCTAATTGGCGCTGCTGTCGCAGTGAATGCTCGCGTTTCCTGTCAAAAGCGCCATTGCGCATGACAGTCAGTGCGGCCTTGCAGACTGAGAGCGCTGCCAACAAAGGCCGAGTCGATGGGGTTACAAAAAGATTGTTAATTTGGACTTCTAAAACCCTTTTGTTGTTGTAATTATAATTTTATATAGGTTGTGAATTTGTGATTACGGTTAAGAAAATGTGTGAATGATATGAATCGTGACGACTAGCAAAGGAGTCAGCTGGTCCACAGTGCGAATAGTGAATAAGAAATGGCGGCCTTGCCAGCAGGTGTTCAGTATGGGTTATCATCGGAGTCTAGTTATAAAGAAAACAAGGAACTAGTGTTTGTGAAATTAACGGATTCAGCGCTTAAAGCTATTGAAGACTTTCTTAGAAATAATAGGGTAAGTACAATCGCCATATTGTTATACCAAAATAAAGATAAGCCAACAATGTCAGGCGCCATACTTATATTACAGTAATTGAAATGAAACTGCAAATTTAGAAGGTTTATTCGAACAAATCTGTTTTCTAATCATGTTAATTGGCTTCAAAACAAGTTTAGGTAGGTAGCATTGCGATATAAACTCCTCTCCAATGTCACGCCACGTCAACATGTAGAAAATTTGCTCTGTTATTTTCACAGATTTACATTTCATACGGCTATAATTAGAGAATTCGGACTTATTGTTGCGGAATTCGACGTTTACCGTGGAGTTGTGTTACAAATCGTGGTTTTTTACTCGCTACCGTTTCACGTAAAGAGAGATTGTGCCCCTGTAAGAGATATCAAATGAATTCAGAATAAAAACATTCAAGATGAAGACTTATCTAGTTTACGTACTGGAAAAACACCACGCAGTATTTGTCGATGTTGTTGATTTTAGTATGTAAACCAAATTAGTGTGTTAATTAGGGTACTACAATTCTCAGTAAAAAGATTTGCATTACCAGTGGTAATAAATTGATCAACAACTTGTTTTCAAAAGAATTGCAGCTGATATTAGAACTGTGTTTCAGAAAGTAAAATTGATCATGATTGGTAATTACTAAAATTTTCAAGCATTAATATACACTGAACTTACTTGACAACAATACTATTTTCAAAGCATTCACTGAATGTTTACTACAGTAAAGGTACCGTATTTAAAAATTAACACATGTAGATAGTTTGTCTTCTAAAACATAGTACTTGCATAATGTCTGTCTAAATATTGCAATTTTTCATATGTTCTGATGAAATGAAATGAAAACTGAAATTACCATTAAATTTTCAATGTCAAGAATCATGCAATATTGAATAATATTGCTGGTTCATGATTTACTGGAATGAAGCAGAACTAAACATACAGTTCTGAATCTATCTCACAGATTTCATCATGCTTCTGCAATGTTATTGTTTCTCCTATAATATAAATGAAAGTATTTCAGGATACTGATCCTTATTTAGCATATAATAAGAAACAACTACTGTTTAATGAGGATTACATTTCAAGGCAACATTTTTTCTTTGCGCTAATCAATGATTCTTTACTTAGTACAACATTATGACACAAGATGGCGCTGTGTGTTTGCTAATGATAATGTTACACTCGAGTAATTATCTACTATATTTATGAAGTATGGTTACAATTTGCTAATAAATAATATCATTAATTTGTACTGTATACAATAAATAGGTGTAATACAGAATAAATTAGTTTTAAGAATTATAATTAAATTGTTGTTAGTACAATGATTATGAACATCCTGTTTGCCATAGAAGGTTCTACAAATGCTACACATACTTTAATTAAAGGAATAATATGTATTGGCCTTTTAAGGTGTACATTTATTCACTTTTAAAGTATGTCTTACCTTTTATTACCATGCAATATCTTAAGAAATAAAAAAGAATGCCTTCACTTGATTCTTTATTCTAAAATGCTTATACATATACTAAATATAATTTGATTTTCTTAGAACTATTACGAGAAGTACTGTTAAACAAAGTAGGTAATGATATATACACCAGTTCTGCAACTTTAGAAGTACAATTATATAATACTCTCAAAAATCTACCTTTCAAGTAATCAAATTTCAGACATACAAACTCTTAAATAATGATGTAGATAAAAATCTAAACTGAAAACTTCCTACTTATATTGCTGTGAATTATTAAAATAACTGCTAACCTACTTGCATACTAAAAAGTTTCTAATCTAGGTCATCAAGTTACAAGTTGATTACCACCTTACAGTCTAGTCAGCCAGAGGTATTGATTGGTACCAGGTGAATAACTATCTACTGTCCTGCTCTAAAGCATTCAATTACGAACAGAAGCAGGTTGAATATATATCAATATTTCACAATGGATATCCCCAATGGTGATCAATCTAAAATTAATTTAGATGCTACTATACTTTCATACACATTTCAAATTATAGACAAAGTTGTTTTGCAAAGTTTAATGAATGAATTACTGATGGTTGCAACAACATTGTTGGGACATTATTGATAACTTTACAACACTATTAACTACCTGACACATGCTAATATGAATAAAAAATATGAGTGTGTTAATTTTAGATTGATAAACAGTTGCTTTAACATGAATGATATATAAAAATGGATCAATATAGTAAATTGACATGTCAACATAATTCCTTCAGTTCACATAAATGGAATTGACAATTTTGTAAGGCATTCTATGTATTTGACAATGCTTTACACACAATGATGCATTACTTAGAAGTGTGGGAAAGAAAACAAGGTTCATTTAACTAAAGCCATACACACTAGGAAGTAG